ATCTTTCTCTCTGCAGTCCACTTCTGCTTGAGAACTGAGTGACTGATACATTAACCAGATTTTTGCACCTGTCACTACATTTCACCATTTAGATGTCTGATGAAGAACTATCCCAGGGACCTGCCAACCATCAGCGTGGTACTGATCTACATAAAAGAGGCTCTTTCTATCATTAAAAGGGCGGTACAGAGCATCATCACCCACACTCCAAATCACCTGCTGAGGGAAATCATTCTAGTGGATGACTACAGCACTTACAGTAAGTTTTATCAACTATCGTCATCAACTATTCCTCTTATTAGCAAGGTACTCACTGCTATGTGGAGTTTTTATATATAATTCGTATAGCTGTTATAGTCATCCATACTCGTTTATTTATAGATTTCACTGTGGACTGCATTTTCAGATGACCTTAGGAAGCCGTTGCAAGACTACATAGGTCAGATTAACAAAGAGAGGCCTGGGCTCATAAAGAAAGTGTGGCATGAGCGACAAATGGGCTTGTCCCAGTCCCGGATCTCCGGTTGGAAGCAGGCCACAGCTGATGTTGTGGCCATTTTGGATGCCCACATTGAAGCTACAGTGGGATGGTATGTACATGTTTCAAATAAAGAAAGGGAAGCAACCGTAAATTAACAGTTGTTAAGTTCAGGTCCCTCACTGCCTTAAAGGTGCAGTCAGCAGTTCTTATCCAATACACTTTTTTTCAGATTTAGCAAATACCTCCTCACGGTCAGCTAGCTGTCTGTTCTGTGTACACTGTATCAACACACTGCCCTGGCTCTGTAAATGGGAAACAGGACAGGGAAAAGGTCGTGGATGTGTAAATAGAAAGGCAGATGGCAGGGATGTACCTCTATCAACAATCTTTCTCCAGAATTGCTGACTCCATCTTTAAGTTCCTGTTATGATACTGTTGAAGATTATTTATTTCACTCGTCCTCTTTCGGTCATTGTACTTTCTCATTTCTGTTTTCTTCACCAGGGCAGAGCCTCTGCTGGCCAGGATCAAAGCCGACAGGACAGTGGTGGTGTCCCCTACATTCAACAAGGTCCATTTTGATGACTTACATATGGAGAGATATATAACGGCTGCTCACGGCTTTGACTGGAATTTGTGGTGCCTGTACGAGTCCTTTGGGCAAAAGTGGTTGAAGATGGGGGATGAATCGCAGCCTGGAAAGTATGTGGAACACACAATATTTTCCTCAGCCAGATTACTGTGAGCAGGATGATAACACCGGACTCTTGTTAAGAGAAGATTTGAAGTTTAATAGCTCTTGTCAGGGATTGGTTGGTTGCTTTGGCACTACAATTTGACTTAAGGCACACACACAAAAGAGCATTCAGCTGTTTTTGATCCTGTGAAGCACTTGTGTTAACACATTCGCAGTAGGGCTAGTGGAAAATTGAATCCTCTACCACAGTAAAATATTGCATGTGGTGCTGTGTCTGATGTTATGTTCCTCACTAGGTTTAGTTAATTCCAAGAGTTTCAGGGGAAAAGTGATGAAATCTTTCCAACCTTGGGTCTGGGTGTTAGCAATCTTATCTCAAACTAAATGATTGATCGTACACGGAATTTATCAGGCTGTAAATTAATCTGCAGGTCACATATTAAGGTGTTTCTCTGTAAAAAAAAAAAAAAAAAATTTGTGTAGTAACAAAATAACATGCAAAATTAAGAGTGCATTTTTAGACAGTACAAATTCCCGCACAAGACTAGTGACACTATTTCTTCTGGACAGGAGTCCCTCTGTTATGGGAATCTTTGCAGCAGACAGGGTCTTCCTTGAGGAAATTGGAGGGCTTGATGGTGGAATGACAATTTACGGAGGAGAAAATGTTGAACTTGGGATTCGTGTGAGTAATAATAAGAATTTGGTGCATAATTTAAATCATCTAAAGGTTAAATATTTGGGTGATAATCTTTAACGACTATCTGATCTGTGTCTTGACTGCTCAGGTGTGGCTGTGTGGAGGGAGTGTAGAGGTTGTGCCTTGCTCCAGGATAGCTCACATTGAGAGGGCATATAAACCGTACGCACCTGATCTCAACCCTTCCATGAGGAGAAACGCCTTGAGGGTTGCAGATATCTGGTTGGATGATTACAAGAGGAACGTGCACATTGCCTGGAACCTTCCTCTAGAGGTTGGCACAATGATTTATGCTGTCAGAGTTTATTTTCAGTGTATGAACATTATAGTATTTTATACAGCAGCTAACTGAGGGAGGAATGTAATCAACCAGAAGAAAGGCATTAGAAAACACTCTTAGCAAATAAAATGTAGGCTCACAGTCAGCAGCTCAATGTCCCCGGCATCACTGAACAGCTGGCTGTGAGCCTCTGTCCATATTATTTCATCTGCACACTGTATATTGCTTGTTGAGTCACAGCTACCTGGTTGAAACAAGGGAGTGTTACAATTTGCTACTTGGTACATTTTCCATACCTGCCAGCTCCCCCCTTTTTTCCATGTTTTACTGTATTTAATGGCTGTCCTTTTCTCCCGTAAAACTCCCACTTCTTGCATAATCCTCAAAGGAATTTCTAGAAATATATATATATCATCCTCCACCATATTTACCTTGTGTCCGTAACAATCTGGCAACAATTCAACGGTAAAAAATTGTCACAGTGCAAAAAAAAGTATCAAAATAGAAACTTCTCCATCATCTATTTATATGTTTATTATGTTTAAAACCTCTAATATTATTGCTAAATACACAAATGAAGGCAGTTTACCAATACCTTTCACTGCTGAAAAAGGTATCAGGCCTTGTCACAGCAAACATTTTGACATTTCACAGTAGGAGAAGCACAGATGCAAGGGCATCCTTTATCCTGAAAAGTGGTAGGGATATATGGCATGTAATGGTGGGATCACTATGAGGTAAGGGGAGGCAATTATGACAGGTTGAGCATCAAAAGGGCCTAGGCTCCTGCAAAGGTTTTGTTTCAACATTAGTTAGGGGGACAGTTTTTTGAAGTGGGGGATCTGGGGATCCTCCCCCAGAAAATTTAGAGCATCAAACACTTCATTTCCTGCATGCTGGCAAATTTAATGCATCAATTTATGGTGAAAATATTTTTATTTTTGTAAGGAGAAACACATAATTCAGGTGCCAGGTGACAATTAAAAGTATCAAAATATAATAGAATATAATGCAGTTAGGCTCTCAGGCAGTCTGGATCGCTTTCAAATATTTATTCTGCTCTAAGTTAAATTTTCTTATTTATTTGTTAACCCTGCTGAGTGTCTTTTGTTTAGGAAGGTAATCTCTTTAAATGTGCATGTGGCACATATTCACCTCAATGACACATTAATTATTTTCATTTTATTTATAAACCCCTGGTCTTTAATAGCTCATGTGATGACATGTTCACAAAGAGAGAATGAAAAAATTGGACAAGAAGAAACTGGGTGAAGAATTTGTTAAATCTACTGATCAGTGCATGCACATTTTTGCGTCGCTTTAGAAACGCCATGGCTAATGGAGCTTACGTTACTTTTCTGGACAATGCACATTTGTTTCTTCTATATTTAGATTGCATTGTGTGTTATATTATTGTGAAAACCTTTCTTAAAGCATACTCATTTGTTAACATTTCCTGGTGCAAGCTTTTTTTCAGAACATGTTTAACATATTATGCTTTTAAAAAGTGATGGGGACAAAAAACGTCCATGTACCCCTCGTAATGACACCTATGCACAGATGTAAATAACAAAATGAATGATGGCTGAATTCCATTTAGCCGCTTCAGTTTCGGGATCCTGGACTGTGCATGCTGGCTCACTGTCACAGCTTACTGGGAAACTTTAATAGAACACAGCTATCAATAATATTGTTTTAGAATGGGACACAATGTTTTGTAAGTTAGTAACACGTGTGCTTTTCCTACTATGACAAGTCAAAATACATCACAGCATCTCTTTACTTTTTTTCCACCTAAGGCCAAAATGTCACCTTCACAAGAACTACATTAAAAGCTGCCATTAGAGCCAGTGTTTCCACATTCATTTGCTCAGCTTCGTGAATACAAGATTTATGGTTTATAATGTGTAGATTTTACCTAAATGCATTGTTCATGCACCTTCTGATACTGTTATGACACACAGAATCATGGAATCGACATTGGTGATGTGTCAGAGAGGAAGAAGCTCAAAGAAAAGCTGAAATGTAAACCTTTCAAGTGGTACCTGGACAATGTTTACCCAAGCCTGGAAACATGGGATAACATCTTGGGCTATGGTGTGGTAAGGGACATTTTCAGTCATTAATCTGCTGATGTAACAGTTTATATTTTCGTGTGAGTACTATATGAGTGAGCCTGAAATACTTACACAGTGAATTTAAGATCGGAAATCTGTATTAAAAGAATATTGTCTTTAATTAATATATTAAACGTTGCAGGGCTGTGCACAGATATTTTAGGGGGCAAGTGTTCAAGTGAGAAAAGGGCACACCTTACATATTTGACATATTACATATATTTATTTCTGCTTCTCCACAGAGGGCTTGATTTGCGTGCATTAACTGTGGTGCCTTTGACAAAGGACAGCCCAGTTGCCAGAAGAAAAAGTCAGAATTGTGCATTTCTGCAAACCACAGATAACATTACATTTGTATGTTGTATCATATCAGTGTTTCTAATCAGAGCCATACCACCAAATATAATACTGCAAATGGAAAAAAAGTTTTCTTTGACTAAAGTGTTCCTGACTAAAATATTAAATTAGGACCAGAATAAGAAGAAAATGTTGTGCAAAAGGGGCACTTATCTAGTCAGAGGCCAAAAGGGCAGGTCTTTAAGGACCAGCTGGGGTCTATTTGTGCACGTGTCTGACATGTAGCAATGAAACATCCTGTGATAAAGCCCTGAATTTATACCCATGCTTAATGTTGTGATAGGACATAAAACATTTAAACACCAGTGAATGTTCACATAGTGGCTAATCACAAAGCGAATAAATAACTCTCTCGACATGACACTGACCTGTGCAGCTACAGAGCACCCTTTTTACGAGCCACTGTTTGGACCAGGGAGTCATCCTAGGAAACACCCCCATCCTGTTTGATTGCCACTTCCAGCAGCCACAGGTGATCTAAGAAGACAGACAGGAAAAATATACTAAAATGACAATGATAAAATAAATCACAATGTTAAATCATAACCTTTTCTTTTCACCAGCACTGCTTCTACAACACAGATAGTGAAATCATCATCGGGGGAATTAAATCTCACAAATATTACAGTAACCGGTGTCTGGTTGATCCAGGCTCTGGCAGCACTCCCACTCTGCAGGAGTGTCAGCTGGCAAAACTAAACCGACAACACATGCACTGGGACTTCAAACAAGTAAGACCTCAGCTGGCAACAATGTGGTTGTACTCTGCTTTAACTCCTGACAGTGACGTTTTGGACACTACCAGTAGGAGGAGCCAAACTCACATAGGTGCATTTATGCTACCATCTCATAAATTCTCTCTCTCTGTCTTGGTCAAACTTTTGCAGGGCCAAGCGATCATAAACAAAGCAACAAAGAGATGTCTTGAAGTCACCCAAGGAGACAACTTTAACTATAAGCTCATCATTCAGCAGTGCAGTGGACAGAGCTGGAAGATTGAACATGTTATCACAAGTTTTTAGTTTGGTGCTTGAAGTGAAGTTACAATGTATGAACAAAGCATAATGACAAACTGGATCTTATTTACTTTTTTTTAAAGTGATTTATAAAGAATGAATTAAAAAAAAAAATCTGCCAAGCTTTGACTGACTGACTTTGGTTTTGTGTCATGTTGTGCAACATTTTGTTTGAAAGGTCACAAGTGCTACAAATGAGCAACCACACAACTTATATCAGCAGTTTGCAGTGTGTCATATTAGGTGCAAAATTATTTGGACTTTTGTTTTGTAACTTTCTCAAAGTGACAGAGCTGAACTGCAACATTAAACATTGGGGGTGTCAATGGATACTACTCTGACACCAACTTTATTATGCTGACTATGTTTCCATCCCTTGTACCTAATGACTTACTTAGCAACCAGCTGTGACTTTTTCCTTGACAGAATTTTTTTTAATTGTCATAGCCAGAGAAACAGTTGTACTTTGATTGCATTGGTGTGTATTTTGGTGTGCCTGTGAGCCCGCACCCACTACAGTAAAGCCCTGGCACTGTTACATATACAAGAAATGGAGTGTAGTTTAATAATGTGATTAGTCACACTGTGTTCTGCTGTGACACAGGTCAATTAGTTAACACTTTTTCCAAAGATAACTTTTGTTGGCAACAGATTATGAGTTTGTAAATAGCATGTCTTTGTGAATGAAATGATAAAAATGAAATCAAAGGTCATCATTATTTAATATCAACAAAAGTATGTGAGAAGTGTAAATTATTTTCTGACTAGATCCATTCGCCTCCTGCTTGATCCTCAGCATGAAGAAGTCAAACCTGTAACACAAAGGAAGGAAGTAACATATAATCTGTTAAGGGATTTATTAGTATATTTAAAAGTTTGTAATGCCACTCATCATCATCATGCTTTTTGAACATGTAAACTCAGCTGGCCATCCAGTTTGAACCCAGAATCTATTCATTGCCAGTGCCGTCCACTGACTAAATGATGACAAGTATCTCAAGAACGCTTTAAGGGAATTTCTTCAAATTTGGCACAAACATTTACGTGGACTTAAGAATGATGGTTTGATGGTCAAGGGTCAAATATCAAGGTTGCTGTGACCTTGCATCCATCTCATTTTTGTGAATGTGATATCTCAAGAACTCCTCAAGGGAATTTCTTTAAATTTGACGCAAATGTCCACATGTACTGAAGAATAAACTGATTAGAAGTTTGTGGTTGAGGGTCAAAGGTCAAGGTCAATGTCACCTCACAAAATATGTTTTTGGCCATGACTCAAGAATTCATATGTTAATTATGACAAAATGTTACACAAACCTCTAATATGATAAAATAATGAAGTGGTGACATTTTATATCTAAAAGGCCAAAGGTCAACTTCACTGTGACATCATAATGTTCTGAAAAAACAGTTTTATGGCCATTATTCAACATCATATCTCAGGAACAGAAGGGGAAAATAGTTGGTCAGATACTGAATTGGTGACACTCATCTTGGGTGTCCACCTTGAAACTGTGCTGATCGTATAGATCTTCTGTGCTGTTGGGGGGGACAGTGGGTGTTACGCAGCTATGTTTTCACAGACATGTTGCAGTTTACATGTTGTTCGATGTAAACTGCAAGAGAAACTTGACCGGTGCATGGAAGCATACAACCACTTGGCAGTAATTCTAGTTTTCCAAACTATGCTAGCAGTGTGGCTCCAAGGGTGGCAATGTTGGTCAATCTGTCCCCCATTGTGGTCCAGATTGAAATATCCCAACAGCAAACATTCATGGTCTCAACAGGATGAATCCTACTGACTTTGGTGATCCCCTGACTTTTCCTGTAGTGCCAACATGAGGTTCACATTTCTGTTTTTTGTTTGTTTATTTGTTTGTTTTTTTTGTGTGTGTTATTGGATGAACTGCCATGAAGTTTGGTTCAGACATATGGTCCCCAGAGGATGAATCCTGCTGACTTTAGTGATCCTGTGATTTCCGCGGGCATGTTAATTAGCAAAAGTTAGCATGCTATAACATGGACAACATTATACATCAGCACATAAGCATTGTTATTGTGAGCATGGAAGCATTTAGCTCAAAGAAAGCACCACTGTGCCCAAGTTACAGTTAAGCCTCAAAGAGCTAGGCACAACTATGATTACTATTGGCTCTTTTCTTACAGTGTACTGCAGTTTCTGCATGTGGCTTGTGCAACAGGTGTTACCATACCCCAGCAGAAGCCACGGCTCTACTGCTGCGGGTAGTTACAATCAATGACAAACACTGTAGCCTACTGCCTCTTTATTTTATTACACTCATGTATCAAAAAGTCAAAAGTCAGATGAAATATGAGTCTTACAAGAGTTACAGTATATCTTTATCGACTGTTATAGCTGTTGTAAAGCGTTATAAAATATCATAGAAAAGTAATAAAAAAAGTGTGTAATGACTAGAATTACAGTTTCAGGGTTGTATGTCTCCACAAACCCGACAAGTTGCCCGACAGTTCACAACCACGTCTGTGAAAACAAGGATGCGTGGATGCACACATCTTCTCCCCCAGCAGCACAGAAGATCTACACACCTAGCACAGTTTCAAGATGGAAACCCAAGATTAATGTCACCAATTCAATATCTGACCAAATGTCTCCCTTTCTGTTCCTGAGATATGATGTTGAGCAATGGCCAGAAAAATGCTTTTGAAGAACATTATGATGTTGCATTGAAGTTGACCCATCACTTCATCATTATATCCTGTTAGACATTTGTGTGAAATTTTGTCATAATCAGAGTATGAATTCTTGAGCGATGGCCAGAAAAATGTTTTTGAAGAACATTATGTCACAGTGAAGTTGACCTTTGACCTTTTGGTTATTAAATATCATCACTTCATCATTTTATCCTATTAGACATTTGTGTGAAATTTTGTCATTATCAGAGTATGAATTCCTGAGTTATGGCCTAAAGCATGTTTTGTGTGGTCACAGTGACTTTGACCTTTGACCATCAAAAATTCTAATCAGTTCATTGTTACGTCCAAGTAGATATTTGCGGCAATTTTAAAGCAATTCCCTCAAGAAGTGAATGAGACGGACAACCGGACAACATAATACCTCCAGCCCAGCTATCAGTGGTGCGGAGTAGAGGGGGACACGGGAGTGGATTTTCAGTCCTGTCCCATCCCACTCCCACAAAAATAATCCCACCCCGTCCTAATCCCATGAAAAATAAATTAAAAAAAATCCTGTCCCGTACCAGTCCCACAAGAATGACTCCTGTCCCATCCCGCTCTCGTGTTGTGTTTCAGTTACAGTAAAAAAAAAAAAAAAAAAAACGTAAAAAAAAAAACAATGCATGGATCACACAATGCCTACCTTACTTGAATATAAACCCAAATATGACATCTAATGTTGTGTTTTGATGTTTATTGCCTAATTATTTTTACATTCACTCCACCTTGAAACTGTTCAGAATGATAAACACATCTGATTTCTGATGTGGTCCGAAAGCTCTGTCAGGGTGATGTGCAGATCATTTTCCTTCACTTTCACTTGTAACGCTGCCTTCCCTAACTCCTCCGACTCCATTTTGGCGGCTGGCTGCACTGTGCATCAACATCCATATACATTATGCGCTGGTCAGGTGGCTTGTTGCTGGTTGGTTGCAGCCAGCGCCACCTGACAGGAGAGAATAAAAATGAATAAAACAAGACAACAGATCGACCAACTTTATATTAAAAATAAGGAAATGGCATTTATTCATTGTGGAACTGCATATTTGTATATAAAATAGGAGGTTTATTTGACTTGACTATTGTTATTATGATTCCCAGTCCCTCCCGCTCCCGTCGACTTTTTTTTCCCATCCCGTCCCAATCACGTGACAAATAGTGAAACTGATTCCCATCCTGTGGGAATCCCAAGGGAATCACGTGACCCGTGGGACTCATTCATTAAAAAAAATTCATAGTGTGTTCACTCTTCCTGTGCTGCCCTAAATCACATGCTGGTTTCAATGGCAACCTTCAGGGCTGAAAAATGAAGCCAACACAGAGGTGCAAAAAACTGCAGTTCCTCTAATGGCCACATGAGGCTGGCTCCAGAAGTGAGTCAATCCCCACTGACCCCCATGTTCAACAGGCCAACTTTACAGCAGAAATATACAGCCTGGTGTAAACTATACTAACCATGACAACTATACACGGGTGAATTTTTATAGCCTAACTCACCCATTTACATTTTATTAAGTCTTAAAGTTATGCATAATTAAGGGTGGCGCTTTGAGTGACAGGCTGTCAATTGAACCAAAATGGCGACGGCTGAAATGTCAAACTACAGGCTTCAAAACAGGAGTCTAAAAACCAATGTGTGATGTCATAAAGGCTTATTTTAATATCACCTTTTGTTCTCGCAGCTTTCCTTTTTCTTCATATGACCGTGTCAGTGTGGTAAGAGTTAGTTTGGCGCATTATCCTCCAGCCGCGGTTGATGCAGGACGGCGCGTGACATCACGACGTCAGCCCACTAATTAGAAACACCTGCGCCATATATGGACAAGCAGCAGAGGAAGGGCTGGTCTCACCTGTGCTCGTGCTCACTCGCTTTCAAACGAGCGGTCCCTTCATTAGTAACCTCATAAAGCATCATGACATCTTGTCAGCTGTACGGTTGAACGCGTCAGTCCTGTGAGCTCGCCGTGCGCGCGCGTCCTTGGGTTGTTTTTTATTGTCTTGTCTTGGGGTCAGTCGGAGTGATATCAGCATGAGAGCAGTGTCCTTAAGGCGGCCGATCCTCATACTGGGGGGGATGGGGCTCGTCCTGTTCGTGAGCACGTTTCTAAAGAATGGATTTGAGCATGCAGCGGAGGCTGGCAAAGAAGTGGCCACACCGCGGATGGTCCGGAGTTTTTCTGACCTGGAGACAAGTATCAACAATCTCTGTGAGTTCGCACAAACAGTAGACTTTGTCCTGAAGTGGGTGCAGTCATGTAAGTTATAGGCCTATGTAGGTTAATCTAATGTGTTTAGTGTAAATAATCAGGATGAAGAAATGGAAATACTGTGTGCTTGATTTAACTTCTGTGACTTTTAGAAAGGTAGGTGGAGGGATTCATGTGTGTTCACTGCACAAGTTCCTCCATGGTCATATCACCTGCATGTCTGCAGACAAAAATAGCCTATATGAAAAGCATATCAACAGTGTATTTGTTTAGAGGGGAGAGGCTGTCCAAAGTGTTTTTGAATATTGGTTGAATGGCTTCAAATGCAAGTTTTCTTGAAGTTTGCTGTCTATTAGTGATATGAGGTCAGATTTAAACAGAACTGAATTAGGAATCATTAAATTGAACAAGTATTCCCCTGTCTCTATATATGGTTTATGTTTTTTTCCATTGTATATTGTTATGTATTTTTACTTATTTAGTCTTTTTATCTGAACCCTGTTGCTCTCTGTGCTGCTGCAGAGCCTAATTTCCCTCAAGGTATCAATAAAATGTTATTTTTATCAGTTCTGTCAACCAAAGAAAATCTCGGTCGACTGAAATTCTACCTATTCTGCAACCAATCCATTGGTCAGTGGTGAAAAACTATTTGAAGGTTATCTCTAAATTAACTAAATTGTCCACAGAGGTCTTTTTCAGCAGTGAAGGAGAAATGAAAACTGCTGGCAACATAGCAGGGAATTATTTTTATTTAGTTATTTATTTTTTTACATTTTTAAAATACACTCTGGCACATTATTTACAATCAAAGTATACATCTTGATCATTGAATAAATTAAATATGTACTTCAAATACTTTTTTCTTGTTTTTATAACTTACCAGATTAATCATTGTTCTTATTGTGATGTTAAAAAAGATTAAGTTGTTAGTAATTAGTATAGAGTAGTAAGAGTACTTTACAAGTGCTATCATTAAACATTTATTGACAGGAGTTGCAAAAAATAGTTATTACTTTTGTTTATGTTAACAGCAGTGCAATTTAACTAAGTACATTTACTTTAGCACTGTACTAAAGAACAGTTTTGAGGTACTTTACTTGAGTATGTTCCCTGTTGTGTTACTTTGCACTTCTGCTCTCAGAGGGAAATATTGTACTGTCACTGCACTGCATTTATTGTCAGCTTTGGTTACTTTGAATATTCAAATTATTCATTCAAAATATAGAGGACCCTTGCATGTTTGTAATACATTAACAAAATAAATGATAAGATCTGGGGCTCATTATTATTGAAAATATATGACTATAGCCTATATATTTAGATCTGCGGCTTTTCATTAAACGTTGAGGGCTGAAGCCTCAGACGGCCATGCCTAATGATGCCAAGGACCACAGCAAGTACTGTACCTCGTGCCGACATTTTTCCTTCCACGGATATTCCGTGTCATAGCAACCACACCCAGCCAAAGCCTTTCAGCCTCCAAAACGCAAGAACTCCCAGCTGTGTGCTTTCAGAAAAGCACCTGGCTGGGAATAAACATTTTGGTGAACAGGGGGCCTTATGAAAGTAACACTAGTGACTGTCCAACTAATGAGAATTGGTCAAACAAGAGCAGATCGACCAGCTGACCAGGTGTCAGCTCTCATTTTTCGGTAGAATCAACCAAGGGAACATTCATCCCAGGGAAAATGCTTTCTTTTAATTTAGAAATCATCTAGTCTAGTATTTTCTGCAAAAGTGATCATGCCTCCAGCTCATTCTGCTTTCTCCCTGTCATCCTTTTCTCAAGACAATGTCATCAAAGTTTTTGAGCAAAAGCAGGACACCATGCAGAAAATGCTCGAAGAGGACAGAGACAGATGGAGGAAAGCTGCAGAGGTCAAACAGCCCCCCGTCAAAGAGCAACCTGAAGCAAAGATCGAGGACCAGAAGGAGGCCCTTGTAGAGAAAAAGTCAAAGAAACTGTTCCCCGACTCTGCCCTGTTCAAGGAGTGGGGGGAAAACCTGTCAGAGGATGACCAAAGAGAGGCACAGGGTTTGTTTGAGAAGTACGGATACAACGTGTTTCTCAGCGATCGCCTTCCTCTAGACCGAGCTCTCCCAGATACAAGGGATCCAAGGTACGACACATTTTGCCACAATGTCAGACCTGTCATCCTACTTCATACACCAGAAAAGGTTAAACAAACAGCCCTTATAGATTACACCCAATTCACTGTTTACCAATTATCCATCACCTTTCCGTTGACATGGTTGGCCTTTTGATAAAGCATTTACACAGCTCAGCCTACTGATGGTTTGAGAAATCCCTCTTTCTGAATAGGTGTTTGAAAAAGACTTACCCAAAGGACCTGCCAACTGTCGGAGTGGTCCTGATCTACCTGAATGAGGCCCTGTCTATCCTCAAAAGAGCTCTGCGCAGCATCATCGACCGCACCCCTAAAGACCTGCTGAAAGAGATAATATTGGTGGATGACAATAGCTCTAACGGTTGGTTGGCTGCAAATGGATGAGATTATTTTGCAAACACAAATGTGATAAACAAAAGTTAATCCATTGTTTAGGCTGCAGGTTACACTAATTACTTTGAGGAAGGACGGGCTGATGACATGTTTCATATTGATGCCACTGCTGCTCATGTTCCTATATCAAGGTTTTATTCAGATGCTTTCGGATACTGTTACTCTCTAATCTATGGTGTTATACATTCTGGGCGGTATTTTATGATTGTAATTTACATTTGTTTATACATTTACATACATTTATACATTGTTATATCTACTTTTCTCAGATGTCTTGTAAATCTCCCAGAATGCATTTTGTCAAATTAACGTTCAGCCTTAAAGCAACAGTAAGAAAAGAAATTTGGAGAAATAGACATGTTCGCTTTCTTGCCAAGAGTTAGATGAGAAGACTGAAACCACTCTTATATCTGTAGGGTAAAATACGAAGCTACGGCTAGCAGTTGGTTAGCTTAGTTTAGCATAAAGACTGGAAACAGCTTGACTATCTGTGTCCAAAAGTAAAAAATGATTTTAAAAAATCTGCCAAATATCTAAAGCTCACTAATTAAAGCTACAGTTGGTAGCTTTAATGAAAATAACTTTTTGCTATATTTGCTGAAACTGTCACTATTCTGACAGTACATGAGAGAGATGGTCTAGATAGAAAAAGTCATGTCCCTCCTCCACTTAGTGCGTATCCTAATGGCATTCACTAGAATGAATCGCGGTGCACCAAAAGCAACCAATCAGAGCTGAGGAGTCTCTCGTTAAATGTCAAACCAGGCAGCCCTGGTTTGACATGAATCAAGACTCTGTTAAGTCATTGTTTATTTCATGCTCAAATGTTTTCAGAAACATAATTTAGTGTACTGTTTAGCTGTAAAATGAGAACATTTGTGACCCCACCACCATGTTGGATACAGCTTACAGGAGTACCAAGCACCCCTGACCGGCCAGACAAACTTCTTCATTTTACAACTAAACAGTCCACTAAAATATGTCTCTGAAAACATTTGAGTTGAGAAAAAGGGCAATGCAGTAACAGAATCTCTTTAACATGTTATATCTTGTTTGTTTAATCTGTAAAAACAATTTGTTGGTCACGTGCTGGAAACTGTAATGACAGGAATTTAGGATGTTAGAGCTCGAGCACATAACCCCATGTGAAACCACAATTTGTCGTTTTTATACTTATTGTATGCATTTAACAAACAAGATATAATGTGTTCATTACTGAGCGTTAGCGTGTCTTTAAGATGGACTTTGTGATCTTTTGGTCTGAGCCGAGATGGCTGATTGTAACTTCTTTTACGGTCTTAAGATAAGATAAACCAATATTGTCCTTACTGAGTTACATATGTTTTGCTAAACTGACTAGGTATTGTTTTTGTTTTATTGTTGCGTTTTCATCTTAAACAGAGTAGAGGCAGATTGGAAACAGGGGAAGAGAGAAATATCAAATGCAACATTGACACTGGGGCTGGAATCAAACCCTGGACGTTGCAGGAATGTGGCATGTGCAATAACAACTTGTCTGTCTACCAAGGCGTTCCTGTATTTTATATTTACCAGACTGGCATCACAGTGGTATCGACCTGCTTATCTAACTCTCTGCAAGAAAGCAAATACACACATTTCTCAAAAGGCTGAACCATTCCTTCAAGCGCACACAAACCCCAGTATAACGTAACACAGTGGCCCTGCATTGATTCATTATTAAGGCTGAAAATAGTGGTGGTGTGGCTCTGGATTGCACTATACTCAATAGGGTGAACAAAAATGAGAAACAACAAACTCAGTATGTCATCACTAATTACAGCTTCAAATTAGACAGTCACAACATAAATGTCTTAATTTGAGCATGTGTTGTTTGATGTTCCCTCCATATTCTCAAGTCTGCTTTGCATTCTGGGTAATCAGTGTGGAAACTGGTATCCCTGCCTCGTCTAGACTTGCTATGATTAAAAACAATCCCACCTGATCTCCCCTAAGCTCAAAACATATGTACACATTCTCCTCTCAATTCAGAGGACCTGAAGGGGGACCTTGACGCGTACGTGAAGTCGCTTGAGCAGCAGAACCCAAGTGTCCGTATTATAAGAGTGAGGCACAGTGAGCAGCAAGGCCTTGCATACGCCAGGGCCTCTGGGTGGAGGGCAGCTTCTGCTGATGTGGTGGCCATCCTGGACGCGCACATCGAAGTCCATGAGCAGTGGTAAGAATGAGATAAATATATATTTTATACCATGGGTTATGTATAACAGTTTCACTGGTATTGTGTAATATTTGTAATAGTGGAAGTCTTAAACATTATATATTAGATGCCGCTGTGCTAACTTGTCTTCTGAATCAACCTTCTTTTTTTTTTTTTCCAAATTAAAACTTATATTGAAATTCACATAAATTCTCTGAAATTTTTAGCATATCTACACAGTAAATAAACATAACACAGGAAAGCATGGAGTACTGAACATGCCTACCGGGCACAGGCTCAGGGGCCAAAGGTATCAGGGCTCCCCAGCTGGCCGTCACCTGCAAAATTTTACTCAAATGAGCATGTCATGACCAGGTAGAGGCTCATAATTACAACAAAGACACACATGCAGACTACAAAGAGATGCAAAGGAACTGCTAAAAGACACAAAATGACTAAAAAGGAACAAAAAGCAACCAAAAGAAAGCCCTGTTTGCACCGAGCAGTACAGTACTGTTCAGTTCGGGGCGCTTTTTTCCGTTTCCACTGTGAAAAGTCGTGGATGGTACCAATGGAACTGTTCTGTACCGTCCCCATTTTTGGTCACCCCTCTGTTGGACAACCTAGCACACAGATCTGGTACTAAAAGGTGGAGCTGTGAACACTGCAGTCTGTCGACTGGTCAATAGTGAACAGTCACTCTGCTCAGGGCTGAGTTGTGGCTGTTTTTGAAGCTTCTTGCAGCAGCTGGAGGCTGGGAAAAAAATAATTTAATTCAGTGAGGACAACTACCAGCGACTTTTAAGGTGGAACATTAACTTGTAATGTTAGTCAATGCATGAGTTGACGACATGTCAGCACGTCTGAAATACCACTGTGACAACTTTGACCAATCCATTAGTTTCTATGTGACACATAGGTTTAGTAATGATTGGATCTTCAAGCGTTTATACATATTGATTTCAGCCATGTTATGTGATCTGCACTCAGAGAAAAATAAGTGATGTGGAGCATCATTCCTGTGGGATCCAGCAACACTAAACCCCTGAGCCTGCCTGAGAAGGACTAAATGCACAAACCCGCCATTTTCAAATACCCCATGGAGAGAGACTCTCACTGCAGCCTGTTTTGATTTGTTCTGAAAATGTCGGCGTGCAGTCTCGTTCTCTGGACGATAAACAAGTTGCAGACTGATGAGTGACAACAACCCTGCCCACATTTAAGAGTTCTGTTTGCAGTGGAAACGCTAGGGTCTAGGCACCATGTTTGAAGGATTGCTTTTGGTTCCAAATGTACCATACCGAAAGTGTTTGTGGAAGAGAGACACACACAGAACTATCTCAGAGACACAAAACGATTACAAAGAGACACACAATTACCTCAAACTGGCACAAAAGACAGAGACATTAACCAACAAGCCCAAAAACAAGGCAAAGCTACCACAAAGCCTTTGTTTTGCTCCTGTGTAGGACATGTTGTAGGGCCTTTTGCTTATCTTTGCAATCTTCTAGTCACAGAATCAGTGCAATAGTATGGCAAGCTGATTTTGCAGTGTGTGACCTGCATCTGCTTCCTTTTCCTCACACAGGGCTGAACCCCTGCTGACACAGATCAAAGCTGACCGAACTGTGGTAACGTCCCCTGTGTTTGACAGAGTCAACTTTGACGACCTCAAGGTCATTCGCTATGGTTCAGCAGCACATGCCTTCGACTGGGCTTTGTGGTGCATGTATGAGGGTTTTTTGGACGACTATTACAAACTCAAAGACGACTCGTTGCCTGGAAAGTAAGTTAAAGTGAGGTCAGTTGGTGTTGTTCTGATTTACATTGTGTCAAACAAATATAACACCATAGCTGGCATAGAGGCATTCTTCATGATCTATGAGCTTTACGTTCATTATACCGCTGATGTACTCTGTATAATATGTTTTAAATTATACAGTAGTAACAGTTCTCTTCTTTCACTTCAGGAGTCCATCTGTCATGGGGATTCTAGTTGCTGATAGGAAGTTTTTAGGAGAAATTGGAGTCCTTGATGAAGGAATGAAAGTGTACGGCGGAGAAAACGTTGAGCTGGGAATTCGTGTAAGCATCACCCGTCTTAAATCATATCTTACACCTGACAATGCAGTCCCAGGTCAGATGCTGGCTTCAGTACAACTGTTCACACCCATGGATGTCTTAAGAGCCCTGGATACAGCATTGAAAGCAGTATCTCGTTTAGTCCTATTTCTCTGTGGCACATGAAGCTAATAAAGCTCTATTTCCGCAGTGTGAAATTACCAAGATGATCGGGGCTGCTTCCGCATCGTTCAGCCCATAGAGCAGGTACACTAGAGACCTACTACTACTTTCAGTTTAGCACTCTGCGAACTTGAATGACAATAAAATAATTTAATTGTGTGGCTCTTATAGATTTTCCAAATGTTATCTGACTGAATTGAATCCAGATGGTGAAAGGATACATTTCGTGGAGGTTATGATCCTCAAACAAATGTATCCACTGATTTACAGACGTCTTTTTCCCAATATAAGTCTATGGGAAAAAATCTTTCTGGGTCCAGTGGCATCACTTAACAATCTAGGGAGATGTAATTTCACTGTTAAGCCATTACAAAACTTGACTTCAAAGCCTGGTTCACTTCCTGGGAGCCTGGTCCTACCTCTCATTCATCGAGACAGAGGATAAAATGATTTCTGCCGTAGGTAATAGCTTTCCATAGTTGTAAAATCCTGTCCCGTAGTATTATAAACAGCTGTGCAGTGTTTGTGTCTGATAAGCCTCCTACATGGATTACTCAAATGATCCTCCCTTGATACCACTCATGTCCTTATGGTAAACATGAGGCTACACTACAGCTAGCATACAGTTAGCTTACTTATCATACTGGAAACAGCTGGCGTAGCTCTGTCAAAAGGCAACAAATTCCACAAGTTCAAGTAGCACCTCTAAACTTAGCAAAATTAACATGTTATATGTATTTTTCTCAGTGTGTGCATAAATTAAGCAGAAAAATGTGGTTTTATAGAGGGTCCTAGGGAAAGATGGGATCCTACAGACATTGTGTCATGTCACGTGTACATGTGTAAGACAGCTTCACACAAATGTCTAATAAAACTAATTCAAGATGGCACCCCCGGTGCGGACGCCTGTAACAGCAGGTCCTGCTCACTGCTGAGCTTTTTTCAATCACAGCTGTTTACTGTTTTTTGCACATACAATCACTTGCACTAGATGTGCTCTCTTTAATCCACTGCTCATTTTATTCACTGCTCATTATTATTCATTTGTCATCATTATTATTACTATTATTATGATTATTATTATTATTATTATTTATCGCTGTTTCTTGTATTTTTTGTACTTTATTTGCATGCCTAGTTTTTAAGTTTAAATTTTGAAATCTTTAATCTGACTCTTTCCCCATGACTGCTGTAACACTGGAATTTCTCAATTGTGGGATCAGTAAACGTGTATCTTATCTTATCCTGTGTTATTAAAAAAAGATGAAGGGATGACATTTTATATCCAAAAGGTCAAAGGTAAACTTCACTGTGATGTCATAATGTTTTGCAAAAAAACACTTTTCTAGCCATGACTCAACATCGTAACTCAGGAACAGAAGGGGAGACATTTGGGCAGAGACTGAATTGGTGACCCTAATCTTGGGTGTCCACCTTGAAGCTGTGTAGATTGTACAGATCCTATGTGCTGCTGGGTTGAAGGTGTGTGTGTGTGTGTGTGTGTGTGTGTGTGTGTGTGTGTGTGTGTGTGTGTGTGTGTGTGTGTGTGTGTGTGTGTGTGTGTGTGTGTGTGTGTGTGTGTGTGTGTGTGAAGCATCCACATTTTTAAAATGGTTGCTGCAGAGAAGCTTTGCAGAGAAGCTTTGTCTTACGGTTGTGGCTACATGAGTCCGAACAGAAATAGGTGTATACTGTAACTTGACAGGTTTGCAGAGGCATACAACTGCAAGCTGGGAGATCCAGTTATTTATGCTTTGCACTCACACAGCTCCTCATTGGGAGTGATTAGTGATTAACATTTTTATTTAAGCAATAAAAAAGTTATTATTTTTGCCACTATAGGTGTGGACATGTGGAGGCAGTATTGAAGTAGTTCCATGCTCTAAGATCGCCCACATTGAAAGAGCCCACAAGCCCTACATGCCTGACCTGGCCCCAGCCATGAAGAGAAACGCCCTGAGGGTAGCAGAAATCTGGATGGATGAATACAAACATAACATCAACTTGGCTTGGAACTTGCCATTTGAGGTAATTTAAATGTAGTTAAGGACAACAAAAACGATGCCCCTTTTTCTGTATACTGCATATCTCTACACACAGGATGCAGGATGAACAATCATGGGCCTGTAATTAAAAGCTTTTCTAATGAGTCGATATTTATGAGTATGTACAATATCATGAACAAATCATGCTATATTTTCTGCAGAATCACGGAATTGACATTGGGGATGTCTCCGAGAGGAAGAAACTCAGGGAGAGGTTAAAGTGTAAACCTTTCAAATGGTACCTGGAAAATGTGTATCCCAAGTTGGATCCCTGGGACGACCTACTTGGCTATGGTGGTGTAAGTTTAGTTTTATCTATTGCTTTTGATATGTGGTAAAGGCAGTACAGCAGGGTGTGTGTGTGCAACATGTGCAGCCACGTTAAATGGTGTTTTAATGATTAACTCCTACATGCCATGGTGTTGGACGCATTTCACTGGGTTTGATAAAACTCCTTCGCTTACAGATGAAGAATCTTGATGCTGACATGTGCATAGACCAAGGCCCAGTGCCAGGTCACACACCCATTGCCTATCACTGCTATTACTACGGACCTCAAGTAAGTAAAGCAACTTAAAGTGATTATCAAGATGAATGTTGGTTAGCTGTCAAATCTGCCTGCTGCTTAACCTTTTTTTTAACATATATATATTTTTAGTACACTTACTATCGCTCAGCCGGTGAGCTGTATATCGGCGGCTTGAAGTCCCACAAATACAATGACAACCGGTGTTTAACGGACGTTGGGCAAAAAGAAACGGAGCCTGGCCTTTACAACTGCAGAGAGGCTATGCAGAAAGGAATGGGGATTTACTGGGACTTCACACAGGTACTATAAGACAAACTATAATTTAAGTGATAAAGCAAATTATATGACAATAATTTGTATTATAAAATATTGACTGTGGATATCTTATGATGACAGATTGAGCGCCTTAACAGTTATTCTCTTTTCCAGGGCAAAGAACTGAAGAACAAACAGACAAAAAGATGTCTGGAGATTATAAACGGCAAACTTCTAATACAGGAATGCTCTGGCCAACGATGGGAGATCCAAAACATAATCAAAGCCTTTTAAAGTGTTAATATGTGTGTGTGTGTGTGTGTGTGTGGCGGGGGGCAACAGGAAATGCACTTCTGTGCTTATAGGTCAGTGGATGATATCACCTGAATGAAGTCAATGAAATGTGACAGTGACTCTTGTAATTATTATTTATTTGTAGGTTCTCTTTTTGGCTTGAAAAAGGTGCATAATTGACTTGGTAAATTTGCTCATCTTATGAATCGACCTGAAGGCTGCACGTGATAATTATTTGAACTATGTATTAAATTGTAATTTTATAATCTTTTGAATTGGCCATACTAAATTGAAGCATTAAAATTGTCAAAAAATGCCTTGGTTTTCGATGTACATGAGCAAAACAGAAAGTTGAGCAAATCCCATATTATTGTGGTTCTTTTTCTTTCATGCTTCATGATCCAAATGTATGATTATGATCATTAGTCTGTCTGTTCCTACTGTGGTGATCAGATAAAATGTGTGACTTATCAGGTTTTGTTACCATGGATACAAACTCACTCTTGTTCTCAGATACAAAGAAGCTTCATGGAGTTGATGCTGTGATGAGCATGACTCTGGCTGGTGATGCACCAGCAGTTCACCAGTGTGTCTTTAGTACAGGTTTTCTGTGGAAAAGATCATTCCTGGGACCACGTTAATGCACCACATCTTGCCTCAGGCTGCTTATAAAGAAAACGCCACCATTTCGCACCTTAGAGATGCAAGTTAATCCTTTTCCCGCCCCCAATTATTCCACTCAGGTACATCAAATATAATCTGTCCAAGCACTAAAGCTAAGTAAATGTTTGGATTTTCTTGGGATTAAATTTGGAGTGTAGTGACAAATATTTCCTTACTCATAAAACAGATACTTTTAGTCAGATGTAATTGTTTTTGTTGTACTCTGATGAAATGTAACTTTCAGATTTTAGTGCTATAACAATTTGCCAACTCTTAGAAATGCTACAGCTGGAAGCATTTTTATGCAGTTGGGTGAATATGAGGTTTGAAGCAAGTTTTTCATGTGTTACAGAAAAAGGCAAACACAAACCGCAAGGCGAGGGAAAAGTAAATGAAGTAAAGGGCAACGAAGGTGTAAAAATAGTGGATTAAGAAAATAATGAACAGGTTCATCAATGAGTAAACATAAGTGTGCATGCATAGAGTCAGGTTCAGCAGTAAAGAGGTAGTGTAGTTCACAAGGCTGTGGGTTGTGCTGAATTGGATAACCAAGTCTCCCTCTACAAAGACTCCTTTGTGGATGTACAGTGTTGTCTGTTTGTCTTTTTGTCTTAACCTTTGTAATTCTAAGAACTTCTGGAAGAGTCAACAGTTAACTGACTGTTGATTAGCACTGGCCATTCACTTTTAAATATACCCTTTGTCCTTCACCATTAATTTTGTTATATAAATTACAACAGACATCTGACTTAATGGTTGTTGTTGGGCAACTGACAGACATATTGTTAAAAAAAAAAGCTGTCTTGAGGTATGCATTTAAAAATAACATGCAATTGTTAGACTAATTATGTGAGTTGTGGTTGGGTGTGTTAATAATGTCCTGGTGTCAGTGGAAAACTAAGGTCCCACTTGTGTAAAACAGATGGCACCTTTGAATGTAACTGTGTATTAATTATTTTGAGTGTATAAGTGATCTTGGTGTTTTGTTGAGACTGCAACGTGTTGTATGATAATCTACAGCCCTAATCTCTCCTGGAGAACTTTACCTCTAGTGTCAAGGAAAGGGGTCGCTATATTTGGGAGTTGGGTTATGGATTTGCAGACGGGGGAGGCCAACAAAGTTTTGTTTTGTTGTGCTGAGACAAAGGCTTATGTTTACATTTTTTTATCATAATTTGGTAATGTTTGAATTTATAGTTCTAGCCTATCAGCTCTAAAAGCTGCAGCTCAACATACATGCTTGTATAGCTCAGTTGTATGTTTGTGTTCATTAGAAGTGAAGAGATACACTCTCAAAGATCATCCTAGAAGGGTTCACTGTCACCACCAACATACTTTCAGAGAGTGAAGAATCATTTACTCTGCACAGACTATCATATGGAGGATCTAGTTTTCCTTCTGGGCACAGACAGGAGGCTGATCAGCAGGTTATAATAAACTAACCTTTCAATCAGTGAGCTGTCCTGTGACATTAGAAACTGCATGATTTTATTAAGTCATATAATGTGTGTGATCATCTTTATTGGGGGACATAAAACAATCAGCGCCATCTTTTCCAACAGCTTTTAAAGAAGCCAGGTGACTGAGGACCAATGGCTGTATGTAGAAGAATCTTCATAACTGATCAGTTGAGAAATCTTCAAGATACATGCTACAGCTGACCGCTTTATAAATACGACCTGGTGTAGTGCTGTTATCGAAGAACTGAAGGCATTTTGTCAGAGGCTCAGGCTGTTCCCAGGAAATATGTGGAACAAAGTCCTTTTTTGTTATTCTTCAAGCCAATACCCCCAGTATTGGCTTGAAGAATAACAAAAAAGGAGCCAACAAAAAAGGAGCCACTTAACTCAAGAGTTTGTCACTGGTAAAATCTTAAATATCTACATCTCTCTGGAAAATAAAAATAATATTAATACTGAAATATGGCCTGATGACGGCTCTATAGGAAAGGTTAGGTGTCACACACATGCACTATCACTTAAATTTTCACTTGACTGTGATAATACATGGAAGTTCAGGGGTTTACTAGAATCAAACAGTCTTAAGTCTGGAGCCTGACCAACACATCAGCAAGGCTGATAATATCAACCAGTTTCAACTTATTACAGATACACTGATGTCTGCAATTTTGTCTGACAGTAAGTACCAAGTTGCACTACAGACATGCCAAAGTTATGTCTCAGGTAGCTAACACACAGACCTAGTTGCTTTTGTTATCATGGTCACAGATCTTTAACAACCAAATTTCCTCAGTCTTTTACAATATGGGTGCTGATGCTCGGCATGGGAAGTATGAAAACTCAAGACTAATTTGGCAAAAAGATCTAAATTGTAACATTGAGGTGCATGCATGGAAAGATGTAATAAATACAAGATAGTATTTTTTATGTCAACGGTAAATTTACACACAAGACAAGAAAACATACTATTTTGTACAAATAAGACATCACAAAATGATACAGAACAACTTATGCTGGAAGTGTAATGTTGAGGCAGGTACCTCCTTACATTAATTGTGGGAATGTTCTTTGGTTTCTCTGTTCTGGAAAGAGGTTATTGGAAAATTGGATGAATGGCTTAAAAAAATCCCTACCAGAATCTCCCCAATTTTGTCTTCTAAGAGACAGATGAGAGTTAGCACCAGGAATATCTCAAGCAGAATTTGGTTTGGCACTTACAGGCTTCATTACTGCAGCTAAAATATTCCTCACCACTGGAAGAGCATGAGTCAACCAGACTTTTCTAACTGTTTTTAACTGGTTATGCTGTCTTTGAATTGATGACAGCTGGGTTAAATGATAACAAAGGAATTTTTTTTACCAAGATGTAAAGGGAGGAGGACGTTTTATTTAACGTCCTTAAGTTGGGGATATGTGGGAATGGGACACTCAAATGATGATGCACTTTGCTGTGTTTATGTGCTGAGATACATAGATAAATATACTGTATATTTACTTTTATGTATCTGTATTTCTTTTAACAATGTTGTATTGTTTATATTTAAGTGTTTAAATTGCATTTAAATAAAAACTTAAATGACAACTTGAAAAATTTGAAAATATGAGCTATTATTTAAGTTATTCTCTCAGATTATATCTCTGCTCAGGTTGCAGGTTAAGACAAAATATGTGAAATAACTAGTGTGAGTGTACTTTGGATTTGCAAGGTTTTCAATCGTGCTAATGATCCTATAAAAGTTAAGTAAAGCGCATCAATGAGCACGGTCAGCCATAATGTGGCTGCAGCAGGTGCCTCCATTTACACCGGAAAAAGCCGACAAGCTACGAACGCTCACGAACTCTGGTTTCTTAGCAACCAGTGTGTTTAACTCATCGCCGTGGGATTGGAGTGCGTTTCAAGTTTAACACCGCACACTTTACTTACTAATTTGAAGCCAAAATGTTTAACATTGACTTACTGTCAGACCGTGTCGCTAAGGCGAGTCTGCAGAGGCGTCGTAACAAAGAGACTGAAAGACGAGAGAGGATTTTTAACGACAAAGAGAGGACTATAGGGGTAAGCTAACATTTGTATCGGTGTACCGTTAATGCTAACTTCATGATGCTAACTCGTAATGTACTGTTATAAACCGGCTTTTAACTGTGCTGTCATGCCCGTTGTGTCTTTTAAAGGTTGACAAGGAAGCATTAAACATGCAAATGAAAGAAAGGGAGAAAAGAGAAAGGGCTGAAAAAGAGGAACAAAAAGCTTATGGTGAGTTAAACGTCCTTTACTAATGCTTAATAATTTTGCCAGCGAGTATGGTGTCCTGGAGGGGACAATTTATCACAGCGAATATAACCTATAATGTCCTTTCACTCACTGATAGAAAGCAGAAGCTAATCATAATCATCCATACAGATATTACTGCCACTACTTAGTGTTTTATGATATTATTAGACAGTCATAATTTATATTGAAGTGCATTGTGATATGTGTCTCTTTCCATACAGATGCTGATATGCTCCATAACAGCAAAGTAGCTTGCCTCCTCCACAACAGACAAGAGAAGGAGAAGCGTGTAATGGAAAAGGCCATTGTAAACTTCCGGCATCAGTACCAGCAGCCTTGGACTCAGCGGGAGTTTGACCTGAACGATCCAGACCGCTGTAGGAAAACAGACCCAGGTGAAGCACAGATGATCCTTCCTGGCCTGGTGGGCGAGGACCCGGGCAGTGAGAGCAGGCGGCAGAGACAGAGGGAGCAGCTCAGAGAGTGGCTCGTCCAGCAGCAGAGCGAGAGAGCAGCAGAAAGGCAACAACAAAAGCTGGAGGGTAGGTTTGACTGATCCCATACAGGATACAGATAATCAGTTCACACACACACACTTCATGTTCTTCTTTTACTGTTCTTTAGAGGAGCAATATGACCAAAGCAGAGAAGACATGGACAGCAAAGCTCTGCAGCTTCAGAGTATTGAGATGGAGAGGAGAAAAGCAGCAACTATAGCCACTAAAGAGTACAATCTGGCCAAGGTAGGTCACAACTGCTAATTAAAACTGAACAGCGTTTATTTCGCTGAGATTTTAATTTTAAAAGACATTGAAATGGAATCTGAGGTGCAGTAATGACACTTTCTGTCACCCTCACCTTTTTGCTGGGTCTGCATGGGCCAAGATTGAAGAGAAGCGTCGTCAGGAAGGAGAACAGATGACAAGTGCAGATGTCGAGCCCACCCTGGGCATGGTGGGAGTGCCCGGTCTTTGTCCCAGCAGTGATAGGAGAACCCCTCCGGAGAGTCTGCAGCAGGTCGTCCAGTTCCAGAAACATCAGATAGAGGAGAGAAAGGTAAAACAGGAACAAAATGACACTGAAAACACACTCTTTTTTGATCATTTAAAAAGCTGTTCACTGATCGTCTGTCCGTTATCTGTGCATCTGTAGAGGATAGAACTAGAGAAAAAGCAAGAAGAGGAGCAATATGATCGCGTCCGCCTGGCCTCAGCTCGCACAGCTCTGCTGATAGAGCGGCAGCAGGCGAGACTGAACAAGCAGCTGAGACGACACCTGGACAGCACCAACATCAAGCTGGCCGAGACACACAAACAGCAGTCAGTAGCTTTACTCACTCACACAGTATATCCAAGTACATGAAAAACTACTGTCTCACTCTGTGTGTGTCTGACCTGGTGTCATTTTAAGGAAGCCCGACATTGAGAGAGGAGGCATCGACAACAGCTTCTTCTCCAAATTCAACACCTGCAGCAGATGATGGATGGATGGACGACTGGCTCATTACAGTGGATAATTATAGATAATGGTGCTACACGAGAAGAACGCTGAATAAACTGAAGCACACAGTAAATCAACAGTTGTCTTTAATAATGTCAAATTTAAATTCAGCAGTTCACAACATTCAAATTCGCCTGGATGATGCTGTTCACATGAATGATAGTCTGCTTCTTAGGGAGTGTTTTCTCATAGATTACATAAAATGTGCGTACATGAGCAAAAGCTCAGATGTGCCATTTTCTATATGCATGCTGAAAATCCAAAAAATGACATTCAGGTAAAAATCCTGTAAAAGTATACAGTCTTTCAAGCCCACAGGATTCAACAGCCTTTTTAACAAGCCATATAAAACACTCTTACAAAGCACAAGCAACCACAAACACACTTCAAAGAGAAATCATACAACATTTAGCACCACAACTAGTTAACAATGCTGCCTGGCACTGTTACCGTCCCCAAAAACAAAGGCAACATGTCCCTTAAAGTGCAAATACATCAAAAACTCTTAATGAGAACAGACGAAACAAAATGTCTTTGTAACTATTTCATGTGCGCAGTTCAGGTAATTCCCCTAAATTTTATGAGACATACAGCATATCAGGCATGTTTCAATATCTCCAGTTTATTCCCTGTGAATAGCCGACTCCACCTTGCAGCAGTGTGGAACAATTGGTGTTTTCACAGCAGATGTGAAGTGGTGAATGTAGGGAAAGCTAAGGGACAAATCGATTCTTAGATGCATTGCAGTTCTCTCTTGAAAGATTCTTGATGCAAAAAAGTAAATAATCGGAAATTTAAAAGCCAATTCTCAACATTAAGTTCACCTGTAATAATTTTGGAAGACCAGGTTGTACGTTCCTAACAGCTGAACAAAGTGGATGGTGAAATGTAATGGATGTAAATGTGCATTGTGTTTACGTTCTAAGCTGGGCTGTTTCTTCAGTTTTGGTAAGGATAACTAAGTGTGAGCAACCACAGTTAGATACAGACCGACTGGCACTTCCTGGTTTAAAAACTTAAAGTCGTTGCCATTAGTTACTACCTTTATAATACTAACAGCTAATGGAAGTAAATCCATCAGTTTATATCACTTACAGCTCGTTACAAATATGCTGCACTTTAAGAGTATCAAGTAGTCACAGAGCGAGAAAAAAATCATGTATAGAAATATACAGATGCATCAATTATCATTTTAAAATCACATCGTACTGCTCTGAATCAGTATTAAATCCTAACGTGCCCACCCCTCAGATAAGCACAGGTGTTACTTAAAACACTAGGATATTCAGTCATCATTTCCGTCATTATCCCATGTCAAATTGTGACAATATCTGACCCCAAACTAGCTCTGCTGTCTCGTATTTCCTGCTACCACAATCCTGCTCACCTGCCCAGCACTGTTTACCACATTTTACATTCACATTTATACATTACAAGGCAGTCCTTTCTCAAAGGAAGCATCAAAGCATTTCAAGATTGCCCTACGGACAATCCCAGTTTCTATCTAAAAAACATTCTCAGAGACAAACTTATCCCATCTCCTCTGCCACAGATCCAGGGCTTTGTCCTGTTGCTTTGGAGTCAATGAACTGTACCTGAAAGACACACAGGGAGATATCAGTGAGCCGTCTGCTCAGGCATGTGAGCACTTACACATTTCCTGTCATCTCAGCTGACACCCACCTAATAGAGTTTATGGCCAGCTGTTTGAGGGAGCCTAGATGGGAGCTAATCCCACCAAAGCCCACAAAAGCTTCATAGAAGTCATAAGAGAGTCCAGTGGCACCGAACATGGCAGGGTCATCAGAGCTGATGACCAGTGGGTGGTTCTCTAACATCAGTGCAGCTGCTGGGTGGTTTCGCATATCATCTACTAGCTTCATCACCTGAATGTGGATAAGAAAGGAGATATCTGTTAATAAGATGTCAGATCAATTCAATTACAGCCATGTTGTCTCGTAGGATTTTAAGTATTCTTATTGCACAATATGGTTCACTGGATGATCGTGTACCTGGTTGGAGATGGGACACACTTCCAGAGCCACCCCTTGCTTTCTGGATAGGTCTTTGGCCACTGGGTGTCGGAGCAGAGCAAAGCCATGGCCAATACGGGAGGTGTTAAACAAGAGAGCATCCAACAGGTTCTGGTCCACCTCCGTACCCTCCAGATCTACGTGTAGTAGAGAGAAATCAAATGCAGGTTATTTGGGGATTTTTTTTTTTTAAACATAGTGTGGTGGTTCTAAAATTACTAATTTATTCCTTTCCCTAAATTTCCATTCAAACAAAAAACAGCTCATAATGATAAAAATGTGAGAAAACACAGTCGGATGGGCTGACAGTGAAGTCCAGACTTTACTGTAAGGCACCGAAGTCACGCTGCCATACCAACCACCAGCTGGCGTACTTCACTTAAGTGTTTCCATTGGCGATGCAAATATGAATAGCAAAAAAAAAAAGCCCTTGAAGGTATGTAGTTCTCGGGGAAGCTACCCAGTGGGCAGTTCCTCTCATGGGGTCCCCAGAACAGAACACTTCTGTCTGAAAATGCCTAATGTCAACAGTGTGAAAATACATGTACTTCTTTTTGCACTTAATTACAAAGCTGGCTATGGTAATCCTCACAAACTACACTTCCCCTCTGAGTGATAAATACAACATTCAACACTACACCTGATTTTGTTCTTTGCTACGAACTCTTTAACAAAAGGACTTTATAACTACAAACATTTATCTTTGATGAGATAAGTTTTATAATTCCCCCAATATTCCTACAACATTCCTTATTCTTAACAGTTTTGAGCCACACACTGCAGATATGATGTGTAACACTGTAGCTGTATGAACAGGATGCTTATGAGCTCACCGGTCTCTCCAGCATGGAAAAAGAAAGGAAGTGTCACCCCTCTCTCTGCTGGCAGTGACAAGGCATCTCTGAAGTACCACAGGGGTCTGCCACTGTCCTCGCGGCCCACCTGTACACAGAGAGAGTTTGTTTTTCAATAAACAGAGACGCCATGCTATTACATTAAACATGTTTAAGTAATATTTGCTTCCACTGATTCAAAACTGTTGCCAGAGCTTATATTTTTACTGCTTGTATTCTAAGTGAAACTAAAAATCAAACTGTCAGTACACACACTTCCCACTCAGTGTTATGCGTGCAATGACTGCTGCGTCTCACCACGTCAAAACCAGCCATGATATCGGGGAAGTCTTTCTGGAGCTTCATAGCCTTCTCCACAGTTCTGGCCATCACAGATGCATTTACTCCTCTGAAGCACAAAGTACGGTGTGAGATCAACGATCATATCAACATCCTCTCATGTCTGCTAGTGAGCCAGTAAGCCATTGAGACTGACAAGTAAGATCTATGGAAAGGGAAGTCACCTATGGATTGTGAAGATGATTCTTGCTCCAAAGAAGTCTGGGTGGTCTGCTACGAACTGTTTGGTGACTTCCTGGTAGGTCTTCAGAGTCCAGACTGTGTCATGAGTGCTGCCGTCCAACTCATATATCTGAGTACCACAAAAAAACAACTTCTATATAATTGTGTTAAATTAACAGACAAATGAATGCACTGACACACTAGGCAAGACATTAGTGTACCTCTGGGAGTAAAACTCGCAGCTCCAGGTACATGACGTTGTCCACGTAGAACTCGGTGAGACCTTGGTAGTAATAGTCTCTGAACACAGGAGCGTATGTCACCAGTCCCCACAGTGCAAGGAAGGCCTCCTCAAACTTAGCCCATATCACATCCTGACTGGGGTACACCATTTCTGGATCCTGATCAGTGACAAGCGTCATGTTGGCCATTATGCTGAGGGTGTAAATATGAAGACACGGTTGTGATCAGATGATCTGCGTCGCTTTGGGTCCATTTACCATCGTGCTGAGAGCGTTTATTTCTTAACATTTCTATATAGGAGACCTTGAACTTTCTGGAAACCACTACTTTCTTAACATTGTGATTCACTCTTGGGTTTCTCTTGAAGGAGTTAATAATATAATTTTACAGGACCTTTAAATACACACTGTAACATGTTAAACCTAGCTCCAAATCAATCTGCCATCCTGCTCATCAGGAACTCACCTGTTATCGAGATCTGTGACATTGATCATCTTGGCCCTAAGGTGTTCCAGTAGGGTCCAGGCAGAGCACTGTGGCAGAGCTTTGGGCTCTTTGGACGAGAAGATGAATCTGATGGACTTGTTGTCGGTGATGCACATGTAGCAGTGGGGCCGATAGGTCACGTTCTTCACAAGCCACTCCACGTCTACCATGGCCAAGTCATGGATATGGAGAGCTCCACCTGAAATAATGAATTACAGAATTATAAGGAAATAAAGAACGGAGATATGTAGTACAAGTCTGATTCAGTGTTTATTGTAAACAGATCAGGTTAATCTGTGATTTTCAGGAGATTAGGAGTGAAAAATGGTTTGTAGGCATATGATATACACCAAAACTACGAACTTATTGTCTCATAAAGAATAGCTACAGTGTGGAGCCTTATGTGAAGTATACTCTAAACAAAAGACAAAGATCCCTGAGTGCACAGTTGCGCTCAGGAACGATACCATTAACCTCAGAGACTGGAAGGTTTAACACCACCCCAGACAAGGACAGAAGTTGAGAATGATTTTTTGTTTTACTGTCCTGAATATGAAGACATAAGGAATGTATTTTTCAGACCGAACATACCTTTAGGCATCTTCTGGAACAGGCTGAAGATGGGACTGGCCTTTATGAGGTCCTTTGCTTTGAAGAAGTGCAAAGCAGGAGGAAAGTCTGCTCTCACCATCTCATCCTGCTTCATCTTAAACAGGACAGCGTCCAGCCGCTTCTCTGCATCAGTCAACACCACCTGCCCACCTGTCTGCATGGAGGCCTCCAGCTTTATGAGGGCCTCTCTCAGCCTGGGGTCTGGGATGGACAGGACACTGGTCAAGTGGTACAAGAAGAGCAGACAGGCCACAGCCGCGTGGGGGCGCTGTAGTAAAACTGCCATGGTCCTGAGAGTGTGTGGAGCTGTGAGAGAAAAACATTAACAGCGATTAACTGACACCGACACCAACCTCACAGATGAGTTCAGAAAGCCTGTTTCAGGAACCGAAAGCAGCTGTTCTGTGCAAGCTGAGGTAAAAAATAAAATTTAAATTTCCAACGTCGGCAGGAATAGAGAAAGAAATGACGAGGTGTCTGCTCCTCTGCATCATTTCCACCATGTTTACATGTTAACAGGCTTTAATAACACGTCTATGACTAACAATACAAGACAAGAACATTAATGCACATCTTCAAGTGAATGACTCGTGTACAAAACTGTAGGAAAATGAACTAACAATGCTTGTTTAACTCTTGCAGCTCAGTGTGCTAATATGAGAAGGGGCAAGTCTGACTTGTTTTGTTTTTAATAGGCTCAACAGACATCGACACATGAAAACCAGTAAACGTTACATTACCTTAATTTAATCTCAGCCGCGTACAGTCGTGTGAAATGTAAAATGTTGTCCCTACACGCAACACAATTGGTAGCTCTGCTGGTGCCCCGACAGCTGCCAACGGTTTTGTAAACAGTCTGTTGAGAGTCACTAAAAAAAACAGAGGACCACGGTGACACCTACTCGAAGTTGTCAGCTTGAAATACGCGTATGCCTTTCTCAAATAACTTCCTTTATTACAGCAGCGTCACACAAATAAACAAGCTAGCAAACAAAAGGAGCTAAAGCTACGGTGGGGTCTGTCTATTGATATGTTGGGAGTGTTTTTTCCCGTGTTCCGCCTGTCAGATAAACCGCCTCTACCCCGCTCTGATTGGCTGAAATTTAACCTTGATAATCATGTGATTGGTGGAGGATAGCTATATAAACATCAATCTGCAAACCACAGATTAGGGAATAAATGTCCAAATAATGTTGGTTTATCAGAGATGAATATGTCTCAACGTTATTTGTGTGAACAGATTTACAGTCCGTGTGTTAATGTTTAATTTGTAAATATAAAACACCATCCACAAATACAAAAAAGATTTGTAAACTCAAAAAACTGTTGTGCAAAAATTAAACACAAATTCCACAAAGTATCTGTTAATATATTTAATTAATTTACAAATGAATGAAAAGCATTTGTGAATATCTTCCTAACATTTACAACTATGGATAGATATTTGTGAGTCCAGCTTTTATTTTTTTAATCTCAATTCTTGCAGATTTGCATTTAAGGAACAGTCTTTATTATTAATATTATTATTATTATTATTAGTAGTATTATTATTATTATTATTATTATACATAGTATTAGTGGAATTTGTGTATTTGTAGATCTGATTTATATTTGCATATTTTTTGAGTTAACAAATCTTTTTGTAATAATGAAAATTGTTTTACATTTACAGATTACGCATTTACACACGGATTGTTATCTGCTCACAGAAATAATGAGACAAATTTATCTCCACAGTTTATGGATTGTTTTTGTTTTTGAAATACATGTTTATCAGATTATACAAACTGTAAAATTACTGCACTTTGGCAATGATTTTCATTAAAAAAAAAAATGAATAAAATTAAATAAATAATTTTAATAGAAAACATGTATCAACTAACTAATGATTGAGCATGTTTCTATTTCAAACATGCACAAATATTAAACAAAAAAAAATAGATAAAGTATGAAATATAAGAGCCGTAAGATGTAAAACACAACAAATAGAGCCGTCCATCCAGTCACAGTGACACAAAGATGAGACACAGCTGTTACCCAGTGTTAATAAATAATATATTATTTTAGATGAATAACTATATTTTTTTTTCTTCAAATAAAACAGTATTATAAAATGGAAGGAATAACAGCTTAAAAAAGCCATATACATAACACCTGACAAAGACTAAATTGCAGACATTTGTCATTAAGTATTTTTTACATTGGTGGAGAAGTTGTTTTGATAATTTTCCTCAAATGTTTCTCTTTGGTTTAATTTGGTTTGACTGAAATCATTCAAGTACCTTTATAAAATATAAACATATTTTTGTCAGGGATGAAATGATGAAGTCCTACACTTATTTCCCTCATTGTCTGTTATCTTTCCACAAAAATAAGTCTTTACTACATAATTTTTACTATTAAATTTTTTGTTTACTGTTATATATTGTCTTGCCTTCACACTTTCAGAATTTAGTTATACAACCTGTTTACTTAGGCTCAATTAAAGTATCTTGTTTACATGCCTCCTCTGATTTGTTTCTCTTTTTTTCACCACTGCCAAGTTTGTCCTAATTAGGTCTGAACCACAGAATTTACATGTTTGTTTAAAAGCAGCCCCTTGAAGGAAGCCTGGGGAGCCTCGCTGCTTTATCTTACACTGACGTCACATCACATCACTGACTCCTGCAGACATGAGAGGGGTCACACAAAGCAGCACACAATCTGTGGAGGGTGTTCGTCAAGAGGATAAGCACTAATTGAAGGTGATGGCGTGAGGCGCTTCAATAGATTAATGCATTGTCTTGCATTGGCCCTCTTGTTTTGTCTGTTTGCATTTCATTACTTTTAGCCTTTCAGCTTCTTTAACGGATTATAGATACATGCCCCATTACTATGGGATGGCATGGCCTGGTTTTATGTCTCTTTCCTCACAGCAGTGTTTATTTAAGCACAAGGGAGAAAAATCCATTGATCTGCTGTTATAGTGATGTAACTATGAGTTTATTTTTATCCCTTATGATATGATTTTTATAAATCAACAATGATAAAACTGAGTCCTGTTCAGGAAAAGTGATTTATTTCTAAGAAATGTACAGTATAGAAAATACTCCGTTCCATTTCCAAAATAATCTATGTCAGTCAGATAAGAACATGTAAACGTCACTTAAAAATTAAAACGTACAGGTCTTTTTTTTCAATGCCACCATGCTACTGAGGTAAAAGACGACTGCTTAAAAACAACAAAAACGACACTGAGAAAAAAAGAAACATACACCACATTTATATTAAAACAAGTCCAAAAATGTACAAAAATTCTTAAAAGAGAAAATAAATATGATTCACATTTAATCACGTCTAAATGGTTTTCACTAGTGCAGAGAGATGACGGCAGAGTAAAAGTGAGAGATGAACGCACACTTCCGATCGTCTGGTGTCTTTTCTACGCACCAGAAACACACGCACACACAACTTCTGTACAGCATAAGACAATTTCACAACCTCAGACCTTTAAAATCAACACTGTCCTTCATACATAAGACAGCACGAGTCGAGTGAACACACAACCTCCAGAGGAGCCCTATTAGGCCCACTAAATATTCAGACAATTCCCTATTTTAACAAAATAGCAAGTCTTGTGTGACACATTTAGAAAATTGTCACAGCTTCTAGCACTTTCCTATTCTGTCATCCTTCCTCAAATATTTCCTTAGAGTACCTCAGTATTAAGGAACATAGTAAACCCTTAATGCTGCCAAACTCTGTGTGGTCTATTACAGACCCTATACTGGAATACTGCCTACTGTGTCTAGCTCAACAACCTTTAGGCAGGAAGACATGCAATCTGTACAACCAAAGACCAATTTACAGAGTCCCATGTCAGACATGTGTTCTAATATTGTCTACCTTACTCCTTTAAAAAAAATTGAGGATGAAAGCACTGTCCCGTTAAAAAGATAGTGTACACTTTCAAAGATTGCTTCTTTTACAGAACACCTGTCAATGTCAATGGGCACCATAATTTGACACAGCAATCTGTGACTAACCAAGATGGTCATGTATTGTAAGGCCATTTCGTTGTCAGTTCTGTAAGTCTACAAACTAAAAGTGGTGCTAAAATCATCGGCTGGTCGTTAAATGTTGACCCACAGGAGTCTGGCAGGGCAGGAGAGGAAGTTGAAGGGACTCAGTAGACGCCATCGACTGGCTAAGATGAGGTAGATTCATTTGCTGCCATCACTAAACTGAACAAGTGGGGCTCATAGGTGCAACATGGATATGATAAGGTGTAGGGTGCAGGACAAAAACCTCCAAAGTCCACATCAGTTGTGATAAAAATACATTGGTTGCACTTAAAAATGTGTCAGAAGAAAGCCCAAATTAACTGTGATGATGAATGGTATGACACCAGATCAACAGGAATGTAGAATAACTCATATTTGATCCATCAACTGTGATGAAAATGAAAAAAATTCAAATTTCATGGGGGAAAAGTCCGATTAGTTGGCAGTGCGATAAGCCACATATTAAGGACAATGAATAAAGACCCTTGAAAGTTCAGTTCTTCACATGAGGTGGATTGATTTGCCACAGTTGCAGTCCCATTTTCCTTATGCTGCTCTTCCTTCAAATAATGCAGAAAAATACCCGTATATAGAAACTGTACACCCTGAGGATACGTTTAGTATTGACATGGGGAAGAGGAAGCACTCAAAGAAGTAACCATGCAAAGGGCAGCGCCGTGAACGAACGAAGGAAGTACGCATTTTAACGTGGAATGCAACAAATGTCACAGTTGAAAACAACAGCAGACTTGATGTGTTTGTTCTGTGCATTTACCAGCTAGCAGGACGTGTCATTTTAAAATTCCCCCATCTGGGACAAGAGGTAAGGATATATTATCATACATATATGTGTTTGACTAAAAATAAGACTATCCAAGGCCACTCCAGGATGTCCAGACTAACAAAATCCATAGTGCATGACAGAGTTGGGTACAGTCGAATACGATTTGCCGGTCCCTCTCTGCTAGTCGAAGACATTCTTGACAATGAAGGCAGCTTTGAAAGATGCATATACTGTGTGTTTACTCCACAACTAGAGAAACACTGTTGGGTGGAAATGGACAGTGAATGGGCCTTTTTTTCAGGACAGTTTAGGCTTCAGACAAATGATCAGTGTTTGTGTCCTTTCACATGCAGCTAATATGCTGTACACACCCTATTATCTACACATTCACTCATACATTCACAAAGGAAACCAAGGCAATTGCAAGGGGCCTGTGAGTTGACTGGGTTAGGGTGACAGTCTCATAGTACCTCCTTTTCTACACCTGAGTTTAAAGATAGGGTTGGAACAGAGAATAGCAGTAAAAACAACAAGAGTCCCTCTTGTCTTCATCACAGTGCTCCTCAGTTCTGTCAGTAGATTAACAGCTCCATCAAGCACTGCAGTCAATGGACAAGATAGGCAGGCTGTGTTCTAGGGCCTTTAATACATTAATATTCCCAATGCTCAAAGAGGAGAGGGTTGTCCAGTGTTGTTGAAGGCAGGGTCCTCTGTGTTGAGCAGGTTGGCCTAGTGGTTAAAAAGGCTGCCCTTCTGCTAGTTCAAATGCGCACGTTGGGAAGCAACCATTGTGGTGAAGAGACCTTGAGCAAGACAGTAAATCCCTGCCAGTTCCACAGAGGTTTGTGTGAAGAAGGGCAAGCGAAAAGAAAATTGCTCTCCAGGGCTCAATAAAAGTTCACATTATTATTATCTTAATACCAGCTGCCTGGTTGGATCTTCAAGTTCAGTGGTAACACAAAGCCAAACGTTCTCGTCCAGTGTAAGAAAATTAGTAAGAGATGTACGTGGAGCATCAAGTGTCCCATCTACAGTCAGTATGCCCACATATTCTTCATTTTGGCTCACTGCTTTGTCCAGATGTTCTTTGATAATAACATGCCTGAAAGGAGGAGAAGAACAGTTAGCTGAACATCTACAATTTCAGCACATTTAGGACTGACACAACACTGCAAAAGTTTGAAAGCATCATTGTATCA